CTTCTTCCGTATGTTTGACAAGTCAAAGTCACATTTCCTCCTTCAGTGACTGTCCTATTATCTATTGCTTGTACACCTTCGTGATAAAAAAGAAATAATTGCTCCATATATTACGTCTCTCTTATTTGAAATTAAATAATGGTAGGTTATAAACTAGTAACGGCCATATTCCAAACCAGTACATTATGAAAGCAGCTATATCTTTGTCTTCTGAACAGCAAAGTATCCGAGTATCTACTATGCGGATCTGTCGGCATGTTCCTGGCCTAAAAAAATTGAGGGAGGAACTAATTTTTTCTAAATTTGTCTGAATGCAGTTCACTTGCGAAGATGATGTCTTTACTCGTACTTAACGTCCAGTACTCGTTTCGTTTAATTATGGAGAGGGAAGTATTTGAGCTCTTTTCAATTCAGCACTGGTGTCTTGATATAAAATCAAAAGAATCCATATCAGATGTCATAAGGGGCCGATGAAAGTTAAACTCATGACCTCTGCGATGCCGGTTCAGTACTCTATCAACTCCTGCAGTTGATATTTGGTAATATTTGCTTACCATCTACCGTAACGTTTAAACTCATACTGTACGCCGTTCCTACTGAGTTCTTTGCCATGCATTTGTAGTTGAATACTCCTTTGGTTGACATATTCCTGCTCCACATTCCAAGACTGTTGCTGCCATTCCTAACAAGCACACCATTCTCTAACAACTCATATGTATCCACCAGAGGAATTCCATTTGCTGAACAGTTAAAGGTCACCACAGAACCCTGACACACAGTTGAGTTACTTACTGTGAAATTGAACTTTTCTGGTTTATCTGTAAGATTTAAATGAGAAATGGAATGCCACAGTTCACTGAATTATAGAAGTCACTCAAAAATCTCCAAAATTGGAGATTATCTGCAAGATTTTCATGAGAAATAGAATGTCACAGATCACTGCTTTTTACGTGTCACTCCACATTCTCCGGTTTGACTATTAAAAGACAAAAATTTAAAACAGCCAAAAGGTTTTAAAAATACTTTTCTCCACATTGTCTAAACCAATGTGGTGAGGATTTTAAAGATTAAATGCTTACACTGCACATCAATGCTTGCTATCTCTGTTGGGTTGCCACACTCATGACTCGCTGCACATGTGTATTCTCCAGCTTCACTCCTGTCAATTTTCATAAACTCCAATACCTTTCCAGCAACACTCTGACCATTAGGCTTAATCCAAGACACCCATGGTGGTGGCATTCCAGATACATTACATGTCAGAAATAAGTTGTGGCCTTCAGTTATATTCAGATCTTGTATTGCTTGTATGGACGACAGTACTGCGATTTAAATACAAATAAAGTCTCTATTTATATAAAGAAGGATGTTATGCCATACACATGAACATGGGGAAAATGGGTCTCTTATCATCTCTTCAGGAGTTTGATATTTACAGCTCTTCTAGTGGTCTTAACTGTAGTTGTAAAGAATATTCCTATGCTAGGTTGAAAGCTGACAACTAAGCACAAACGTTTCCACCTTTTAAATCTAAAAAAAAGGTGAATGCGCACTACCATGCTTTAGACCTTTGCCCTAATTATACCTGAACTAGATGGGTTCACGCATCGTCTCATTGCTCTACTTGCAAGCCATAGCATCCTATGACTGAAAGAGAGGTGACTCGATGTACCGGCGGTATTTCATTCCTCACATATCATAGCATATTATTAATGATGAAATTGGCTGAGCAGAGAAAGTAATACTTCAAGCCTCATGCAGGTGTTTCATATGTCACTTTCGTGTGGGAAAAAAGGTGATAACGCATGTCTAGTGCACGCAAATCCAATTACACACCACGAGCACTGTTTTCCTTTTTTTTTCTATCTTTTTTTCTCCGCATTCAGTATATTTGGACAGCTTAGCCATCATAGTCCTTCACTGCCCTTGCCATTTACCGACTTCTGCCTGAAATTACGCAACTTGTGGAGCTCAGATTGGGGAGCTCACTAGCAATCTTGCAAGGTGGCGTTATCAGCTTTGATTTTGGGATTGTTTATGAAATCTTCCACCCTGATGCAGATTTTCTTCACTTGGACTGACTAGAGGCATAAGGAAATTTATAACTCAGTATCTGTCTTATTCTCTTCACTATGAATGACAAAGGCTGCATTGCCATCAAAGAGCATTTCCTTGAGCCCACAGTTCCACATCAAACCTGGTGTGAAGATAAAGGCCTTTCCTAGGGCGGTTGAAGGCCGGAAAAGAAGATGCAGCCATGTATCATAGAGCTCTTCAAGTACCTCAAAGTAGGTACGATCGCCTCGTGTTTTGGACTATGTCAAAGTGGTGATACAGTGCATGTTTTGGGAACTGAAACTGTCACAGCTCATACTGGGTGGCTGTTCGTGCTCAATAACTTACACGTCAAATGCAGTGGCCGATAGTTTCTTTTGATCTAGCAAGGGAAGCCAAGGCTCTTGCGACGCAGAAATGCCAATATGGCATGTCTGCGTGAGCATTCTTATGATTTTCTCAGCATTGTTGTATCAAGGGCAAATGTACAGTAATTGTGATCCATGCTGAGTTCAGAGAACGAAGAGGTACATCGTTAGGAGATGCTTCAATAATTACATTGCATGAACGAGTTGCATACATATTACTGGATTGATTTTTTCTCTCTTAATATATGTAAGAAAGGGTGGGAATGTACATGTAAGCAACACGACGATGGTACTGGAAATGTAACTGTGCAACATGTTTGGACCAAAGACACTCACTACCCTTGTAGATACGCTCTTTCTGGAAGATGGGACTTTTTTCCGAGTTCTTCTCATTCGCTGCCCATGTAGAAGATGTAGATTGTAGATTTGCATGAGACAATGGTCATATTACATCTAATAGCCCATCTTTAGTCATTTTCCTAGTGTTGTCTACTTCCTGAAGTTTCATAAATATCCTCTATTGGAAAAAGAAACTCTCTAGAGCGATCACTTCTCTTACCCCAGGTGTCTTTTTCACACCACTAGAGTCTATTTCACAGGCCCTATATACGAAGCTGCAGGCAGATATTGGCTTACTGACACCACACAAAAGAAGGGGTCAATAGCATGAGGTCGAAGTAAGTTAATCGGTGGGACATCATGATCTATCCAGATTTTCAAGCACACCTGCCTCTCCCATTTCTTTTCCTTCAGCAGAAGTCATCAGAAACGACTAAACGCGCTAGCTCACAAATTTGATCCCACAAGCAACAAGCTTAGACTTCACGTAAAATGCGTAATCCTCAAGAGAGACATATGGCTCCAATAAGGCTGCAGAAGCTGTCAGAAATTCTAAAAGTTGGCCATTTACTCCTCGGTCTTAAGTATAGCTGCGCCTTTTCAAAACTATTGACAAGTTAGATAGGGTTTGCTATTTCCTTTGCTAGGACTGTTTGCTAACAAACCACAACAAGCACAGTCTGCCCTACCAAGTTGCAGCACTAATAAAATGGTCTAGACTCACCAGTAGCCGCTAAATGTATGGCATCAATATTTCTCAAGAGGAAAATACCAGTTTCTCTAGGCTGCAGCGTAATCTTTCTTTTTGCCACCTTTATCTACTTGTATAACTGATATGCTCGTAATTCTAAGTTTATAAATTGCATATTTCATTTAATTGATGACATCAAAGAGAGAGCAAGAAATTGGAGAACCTAGACAAATTGTCATATCTGAGAATTCACAACAGATAATTCTCTATTTGTTGCTTACCATTTACAGTAACTGTTACACTCATGCTGTACACTGTTCCCACAGAGTTGTTTGCTATGCACTTGTAGTTAAACACTCCTCCAGTTGACATGTTCCTGCTCCACATTCCAAGACCGTTGCTGCCATTTCTAACATACACACCATTCTCTAATAAATGATATGTATCCACAGGGGGATTTGCATCTGCTGAACAGTTGAAGGTGACCACAGAACCCTGGCACACGGTTGAGTTACTTACTGTGAAGTTGAACTTTTCTGGTTTATCTGTGAGAGTTAAATCAGAAATGGAATACCACTGAAAAAAAACGTTTTATTATACAAACTGCAGATTTTAACAACGATTTCCAGCCCTATGGAAAGCCGTAACTGTACGTGTTTGATATGGCTAATCAGCTGCCGACCCGTCACATGCCTTTCGCACCATTCTGTCATGTTCATAAGTGACTGACAAAGCATTCAAAACTCTCAATGCAAGGTTGTTCGTCAATTTATTTTGGATTGTAGTTGCTAACAGAACTGGGATGGTAAAAAAATAACAAAAAAAGTATGCCTTTCTTTACTGATATGAATTTCTCTTCTTATGTGGAGATGAATTGATGAATTAAGTTAAACACTTAAAAAGAAATAATATATAAAGGGCTATTCTCTATTCAATATCCCATGCAGTAGAACAATGCAGCTTCTTACTCATTATTAATTTCAAAGCAAGCTTAAGAAAAGAGAGAGGAATGACTCACAGCTCAAGAATCTAGCGACTCACACTTAGCAAGGAGTGCAAAATGTCCTACAAGATGAACACTCTAGACCCTAATGCATATTTTTACTCGATCAGTATTAATAATAATCACTTACAGAGCACAGTGAGGAAAATTCTGACAGAGCTATTTCCACAGTCATTTATAGCTTTACATTCGTATTCACCAGCATTATTCCTGCTAATGTTTGTAAGATAACGAATGATTCCATTGGACTGACTACGGCTGCTAACTTCTGTCCATGTTACAGTTAGTACAGGACTTCCAGAAACGTTGCAGGTTAAAGTCCTGTTTTCTCCCTCTATCACTGTGATGTTCTCCGATGGATAAACCTTAGAGGGTACTGCACAAGACAAAACATAAAAAAAATGACAATCGTAAACATACATGTTAATGAAACTACACGATTTTTATTTTTTTTAATATATTTGCATAACACTAAAGGATACCTAAAAGATAAGTAAATTTTACAGTTTGAGTTCATCTCAAAAGAAGAAAATGATGCACAAACACACACACGCACACAAACCATATACTTTTAGGAATTTGGACACATATATGTAAAACAAGATTAACTTGATGAGTATTGTTCCTACATAAGGAATAGGGTGAGTTACCGATTCTGTAAACATGTACTTTGCCAAAACATCTACTAATGCAAAATGCAGAAAACCAAAATATGGATTGACAAAATTCAAAGAAATTACCTTTGACTGTAAGCCTAACATACTTTTTTATGGTGATCATTTTTCAATTAAAGCCCTGGATAGGACTGAGTCTGGACAGTCATCAGTTGACAGTTGAAGAAACAGGATTGTTTCAACAGAGTAAGAATATAAAAGCCTACATAAGACAATACTGCAAAGTGCTGTGATTGCCTTTTACCTAAAGTGGAAAGGTGTTGAGTTTTTTTGACTTACATCTAAGTGACACCTGAATTTAATTATTTCATTATAATGCAGACTACAAGAAACTGTGGAACTAATACACAATATCAAAAGCAACCTCACCGACAAAAATGCTCATGTGTCGTTGCCACTTGAAGTTAAATATGCAATACACAACATTACGGGGAAAATGGTATTAAAGCATCACACCAGTATTCATTTAATACATGTAAGCTAATGGCTGTAACAGATAACAACTACATGTACTTCTCACGCTGTACCTTTCACGGTGAAATTTACAGTCTTCTCAGTTGTACCAACAGTGTTATTAGCCACACAACTGTAGCTTAAGTCTCCTCCTTTTAAATCTTTTCTCATCCATACCCCGGCTGAAATGTTTCCATCGTTAACTGGTATTTCATTCTCAAACAGTTGATAAGTATGCACTGTAGGTTTACCGTCTGCTGAGCAGGTGATACCGATAACATCACCTTCACATACAGCTGAGTCATTCACCATTAACTTGACATTCTCTGGTTTATCTAAAGAGAAGATAACAACAATATTTGATCATGCATCAGTATCAGAGCATGTGACGTTGTACATCATGTTGTAAGAGCCAAACATTTTCAGTCCAATCCCCTTTCTTTTTTTTTTTATTCTGACTTGCAGCTTCTTTCTAATATCATTTATTCTCCCTGAATCTCACAACACGTTTCGACTGCATACTGCTAGTCTTCTTCAGGCGATAAGGTCGACTGGTCATGCGTGATCTTATAAAGCATGATGCTCTGCTGTGATTAGTTGTTGATCCTCGCTGATCATTGATTTGCTCCCTAGGCGGTCCGCTGTTGCACGGCTCTCCTGTTGTTTAGTTTTTTGATCGTGGGCATCCTCGCCTCTATTCGAAATGCACCAATCATAGCTGTTGAAAAACAACCAATCACAGCAGAGCATCATGCTTTATAAGATCACGCATGACCAGTCGACCTCATCGTCTGAAGAAGACTAGCAGTATGCAGTCGAAACGTAGCGATCTACATCACACGTGACTACATCGTGAGACAAACGAAAAAATTGGCATTTATTGTTATTCACCACGATGAATAACCACAAACGTTTCTACGAAATGACTGTACAACTCGTAAAAAAGCAAATCTTCAGTTATCTTTTCTTTTGTGCTTGATTTACACTTTTTTCCATTTTTTAGTTTTATTTTGCATTACTTTTACCTACTATGACAATCATTCCTACATTCTATGAAAAATAAAAACCAACTATTGGAACAATATACAATTATCTACTTACAATTAACTTCTATTTTCACCGTGCGATTTGGTGCAGTTCCTATTCCATTATATGCTGTACAGCGATATGTTCCACTGCTATTTCTGTTGGTTGCAAGATTAAACTGGTTCTCAGTTCCCAGTACACCACTGTCACTGCCATTAGTATATACTTTGGTCCAGATGATGTTTGGTGTTGGTACACCATCTGCGATACACTCTAATGTAACACTTGGGTCCCCTTCCACAACAACTTCATCACTACTAAAGCTGTTGAATTCTGGTGGATCTGTTAAATAAAATTAATTTATTTGCACACATGTTTGGAGTAACATAACATACACTTGCTATAAACTAATCTGCTCCAAAACTTAGATGCTAAAATTATAGTCGAAAATGTTACGAAAAGTCTACAAGCGATGCTAACGCATTGTTATGTCGTCTGAATGGGCGCCATCATGAAATATCTGAACAATTACCGCTTTCAATTCCTTGATCTTTGCAATTGTACTAATTGCAGGTTATTGGAGTATGCGACAGGGGTTTGTGCTTCTGTAAGATTTCTGGGTTGACTATAATAAAGACAGTATTCCTGTGAGGGTAAAGCGGGCAGAAATAATTCCTTGCATGCACACTCTTTTCTTAAATCTGGTCTTTGAAGGACGATTGAAATTAAACAAAAAGAAACAGCTTCTTAGATGCAAGACTTCAAATATCGACGTCTCTCTCGTTGAAAGCTGTACCACATCGATTGAAGGGGGTAAGTTTCTAAAGAAACTGTGGTGCTGCGTCGGTGGGAGAGTATAACAGGGCAATTTGGTGCTATCAACTGAGTTGAAACGTAAATTGGCCACCATAAAGAGATTAAAGGCTAGCGTTTCAAGGGTTAGCCCTTCTTCAGAGAGATTGGAGGAATTTTGGGTTGTGTGTGGCTTTATATGTAGCTACGCTATTGGTGGGAATATAGCTAAAATTCCCGGAAAATAGCAACAGTTCGCGACAAGAATGAATGAAATGAAATACTCAAAAAAGAAACGAGATTTACCTTCCCGGAATGATTTCAAAATTTTTCAACAAATAGCACCGGTAGAGATAATATTCATGAAACTTTTGGTGGTTTACTTACACTGTACTTGAACAGTCATTTTGTCAATGGCAGGGTTGAAATTACTGTCGGTCACATGAATTTCGTATTCTCCACTCTCAGATCTCTGCAATGTAAAGATTGTAATTTCTGATCGTGTGGCATTAATGTTTTCTTGAATGCGACCCTGATAAAAACTATCTGGAACCGCTGCGTCAATGTTTATGTCACGTTTGAACACAATGGTGCGGGAGGAAGAGCTGCTGACAAACCGAAAGACAACTCTGTCAAACGCTCCACTAAGGTTGTACTGCCACACAAAGGTGATATTGTTGCCTTCCAAGACATAAAACGGATTTGGAGGAGTTGCTGTAAATGATGGTCTTGATTCTACAAAGAGAAACAAAATAAATATTATGTAAACAGCACAGATCCTTTAACCAGTTTGGAAATATGAATACAGTCCAGCGCGAAGCTATTTTTCGCGCCAACGGAAATTCTTGCTTGATAAATACCTGCCTTACGATTAAACAAAACCAAGCATAAGACACGTTGGGTATGGCTGAAAACATTGCAATTTTAGCGCCGTGAAGGCGAACCACGCTTCAATATGCGACGGTAGGGAAGTAAAGGAATAATATGTAAACGTTCTATTTAGGGGCCCACGAACTGTAATCAGCGGCTACATCGCGTTTACTTCTTTCGCCTTCACGTCTCATCATCCATTAGATAAGGAACATTTAGGAAGTTGGGTCTGTTGGGAGGGTACAAAACATACGTAAGAGTTGCCCGAGGCGTAGCCGAGAACAATAGTCTAGCTTCTTGAATTCAATCCAAATTATCCAAATGCTTCATATCTTGATAAACGCACAGCTGACGAATGAATGGCTACATTTCTTACAGTTTAAATATTGATTTTTCATGAATCTAATTATTTGGAGGAACAATTCGCATTAACTCTTTATAAATCGGCTCTTCCAAAAACATGCTCAAATAAAACATGAAAAGTTCAATAGCTTACCAAAGAGACATATGCCACCCGAGATTAGACATAAAGCACGAAAAAAATTGTAAAGACTAAAATATGTCGGGAAAAAGGAGTGGCAGATACGCTGTTAGAAGCGGAAAGCGTACAGGTATCCCGGATCTACGGAACCGGCGCTATGAATTTCACCATGCTTGAACACTGATTACCACGCGTCACGGTCAGAAAACTGCGTGGCGTTGTGTTGAAATTGTTGAAAGTTATAGAATTTTAAAATCATTTTTCAAATTTTCCAATGAACAACACTTAGCGTATCAACGTCTACAAAAAATATATTTACCGACCTATAAAACGGATCTAGAAGATTTGCTGTAAGTGATGATGCTAATTCTACGAAAGAAACAAAGTGGTCAGGGCTGTGTGTGCCTTCAATGGTGCAACGTTTTTAAGTGAGGAAACTTTGCAATTAAAATATTTTAGCAAATATAGCTGTCAATCTCCAGGAAAATCCTCTATATTTTTACATGTTTCAAGTTTTAGTAACGCTATGTTTGAATATGAAAGTCGATTTAAGTCCCAATACCACAATTCAGAGCCAATACCATTTACTCGGCGGTGACATCCAGCCCCACAAAGTACTCAGCCATCCTTCCTTACTCGCGTTCAGATTACAACCAAGGTAAATCTCGGATCAGGCTCAAAACAGTCTTAATACTTTTCACTTGCTGCTTTAACCTATTGGTTGTTTTGCAATTCTTTTATCATTTTATTTTACACTCTTTCGCTGAGCAGGTTTGAAGTGCATTGGCACAATACATGTAGCACAGGGACAGTGAGTGCATAGAGATTTTTCCTCATACTAGAAATTTCGTCAACCAAGTGCGGTACGCATGTTGATAGAACGTCGGCCTGAGCGAGGCGAGTTCCTTACAAAAAGAAAATGAAAACTAGATTTCAACGTCCACGCGGTTTCTGCTTACATTTGTAAACAGTGCCACGTCGTAGAAAAAAAGTTAGATCATTTGCTGATGAATCTCAAAGTTTTAACAGATTTCTTTGAGAGATAGTTACGCTGCAAGCGTAAAGATAGAGCGACTCTTTTCTCAGTCGAAAGAATCGCTACAAGAAACAACTAGCTTTAACTTAATATCTTCGCAGCACCGTTCGCAAAGGGACCGAGAGTTGAAGGCGGACAATCCTCTTAGCCCAAGTACACTAAGATAGTGTACCTGGTCTTCTGTGAGATCTTTAATGGGCGGCGCGATAAATGTCGCGGCCGGTTCCAATCTAGAGAAGAGAGGCGATATATTAAATATACGATATAGTAAAGATTTTCCAGAGCCAGTTGGCAACGAAACGGAGACATCGTTACCTTCGGAAAACATATCTATGGCTTTCTGTTGTTCTTCTTGAAATGTCTCTATTCCAAAAGTCGCACAAACTTCCCTTAAAACCTCATCGTAGATCACTGTTGTCTGAAAAGTTGACCATAAAAGCGTTTTGTTCACCAGTTCGTTAGTGTGAAAATAAATTATTAAATCTAGCCAATCAAAATTGACGAAAGAATCGACAAAACGAGTTAACTAATAAAAAGTCACTACACTGCAAAAGAGTGACGTCACGGAACATGATCAGTGTCAGGTTTGTGTGGACGTTGCCTCGCCTCCGTTTCACCTTAGCGGGGGGAAGGGTGCGGCTTCACGTAAGCTAAAGTTATTTTAACCAGTTGATTTCTTGTAGTTTCAATAGCTTTGCTTAATCAATCAAACAAACAAACCAAATGGGAAAAAATTAAATACAGGCAGGCTGCAGCTTCCCGGGAGAAAAATTCCCATTACATGATAATGTTTGGATGAACCATTTGTACCCGCCGTTGAAACCGTGTGCCATGCCATGACATTTACTCTTATTGAACATTGCTTTAGATCACATGGCACGTGGTGAAAAAAATAAAAATGAAAAATCGAGGACCAAAAAAAAACAAAAATACTCGAACCAAAGACGTGAGAAAACGAAAAAACGTGGAAAGAAACGATGACTTACATTGTCCAGCCCCCAAGAGTTAAATACGAGGTAGTTTCCTTCTGCCTAATTTTCCTAGTGCGATTTGAAGCCTCCATGCGTGATTTCATCCCAAAATTAGGTGACGAATTACGATTATTAAGAGTATGTCCACGAGAGCACCAGGCAGTCGTGTTACATGCCATCTCACCGATTTTAACGAGACTTGGCCAGAAAGCTACAACACTAGTTTTAATTCCCCTTTATAATCCATCATTTCATCTCTGAAAACCATCAAAAAAATGCTTGGGCAATACCGTATTTTTGTCATGGATGCCTTTTATGAGATGCATGTAGATGCATGGAGATGCATGTAGATGCATCCATGGAGATGCATGGAGATGCATGTAGGCGAAAAGTTGATTGGAAAATCGTAGCGTTTCTGTCTTCTGTCGCCTATTACTTTGGAGATTTGCTAAAAACAGCAAATATGGCTTTTGTACGGCACAAAACGTTCATTAGTCTATATTTTAATTGTTTATCATCATTACCGCTTATTTTAGGAGATTTTAAAGCCACACGCTGCGTGTTAATTAACATTATTACAAGCTCCAGTGTTCGACAAACTCGGCTTTTACGGACGAGAAATTCTGCGCTCTCGCTTGAGAGGAAATATCAATAGTTCTATCGAACTAAAAACTGTGGATAAATTCTCCGAGCTTGTGCATACTACAATATCGCTCGGTTGTCGACACTGAAATTCTACGCTTCTAATCAGACTGCCGGGCGCGGTCTCAAATGGGCTAAATGCCCGGTAGTCAGAAATTTTCTTCAAAATGCCACTGAAAGGTTCCTTCAAACTTCTAAAGAGTATTAGATGTTTGCTTAGAAATGTCAAGCGATTCTAAAAATTGCGTTGGTTTTTCAGTGATCGAGCTTGAACCACATAAACATGTTATAAAGCTTGGGAGGTCAGGCTGGTTTCGTAGAATATGTTGCCTTCGTGGCAACTGTGGCGTGACAGAAGGGTCAATACGTCAGAACATCTTCAGGTTCCGTAAAAATTACCGGGAAACAGTACAAAAAACCTCAAATAAACCTATTGATAAAACAGTATTCGATGTTTGTCCCGAGCGGTGTTGTAGTATGCAGAAGCTCGGAGAATTTGTCCACTAAAAAACTAAATTCATCTTTGGAATCGCTTTACATATCTTAACAAATATCTCATGCTCCTAAGAAGTTCGCAAGAACCTTTGGGTGGAAGTTGCGTGAAAATTTTTAACTGCCGGGCATTTAGTAAGTCAAACATGTAACGTGACCTTCGTAATAAATTAAACTAACCGCTGGTTATCCATCGCCTTCGGGCGATGTTAATACATTACGATTTCAGTAATTCAGCTGATTTTTTTTTTTTAAATGTTGGTCTTTTGGTCTTCATTTGAGATCATTCATGTCAAACAAAAAGCAACGCGTTCACTTCGCAGCGTTTGTTCGATTTCGTTACGCATCTCTCTTGGCAAATACTTTTGCCTGACGCAAAGTAAAGAAGACTAAAGTTTCCCGCTTTGGGAAAATACGATCTTGCCAAGATATGAATGAAATTGTCAGGTTCCTGCATAAATCGTTAACCACTGAGGAACCTTAAACAAAAGACAAAATGAAACTGTCTATGAAGTACTGTGATTCTGAAGCCTTTAATCAAACAACAGGAGATTGGTTCGTTTAATATTCCCCCTCCCCCCTCCCGGCCAAAATTGCCTTCAAATGCCCCATCTGAGTATGATTTTTTACTGAAGGATGCTTCATGTGATCAACGAATGTTGTAGAATATGGCAAAGTCACCTGTAAGTTTTGTTGCTACTCTTGGATTACTTCGCTCGTAAGCATGTTTCTACGATGCAAAATTTTTCTTTCTAAACCATCGCTCACGAAAGCGGACTCTACCTTGCAAAAAATAATACACGAGTGTTCCTCTGGAAATACTGAACACTTCTCTCGGTTCCATTCAGACGTTTCATTATGACAAATGTATGTACCATACATCTCTTTATTCTGTGATTTTAATTTTAATTTTAATTCATTAAATTAATGTTATGTCTCCCACATTTTAACCGACGACCTTCAAACTGCTCTTAGCGCGCACCTCTTTCGGTGCTTTTTCAAGTGAACTGGATCCCACGGGCCACAAATATCAGAGACAAAAATGTAGGACTAAAATTTGAGGCTAGACAAAGTTTTTACAGATTGGACTTTAACCCATGTTTTATGACGTCATGGTATAGAATGAACTGTCTACGGCCGGACTGTCGAAAGTCTGGCATTTCTGCTTCTGAGTTTTGTTCTTTTTCTTCGTTTGCCCACCTTTCCCTTTAAATGTGTTTCATTTTCCTTCAAGAGTATTTTGACGGTAAAACACTCTTCTGAATTTAGTGGGCCGTACAGTGAAATACGGTCCGCTAAATAGACCATTTATAGCGAGCGAAGAAGCTGAAGCTCGACGCTAACAGAGAGATCTGATAATTGAG